GCTGAACTTCATGCGGATCCAGGTAGAAACCTTTATCTTCTTGTACGCCAACTATGTAAGTTGAGGCACCTGGTTTGCCACCCAAGATGCCGAGGCTCTGTGGGAATGTGAAAGTCGCTACCAGAGATGGTATGTACCTGACAACAAATTTCAGAAAATTTATCAAGAAAGCTAAGATGATCAAGTTATACTGGCTGGCGGCACATCAATCTACCATCAAGTGCACAAACATTGATTTGTGATTGTATTTAGATGTGAACTCAAGCACAAGGTATGCAAAAACAACCCAATATACGACTGCATGCTTAACATGAAGAAAGCAATCAAAATTTCCAATGAATGATAAACACAAGCTATGGAAATTTCACAAACCTGGGATTCACTTTATCGAGCCCGAGAACCAATGGGACCAAAAGAAGAAGTGGAGTCCATGCAGCCCGTCCTTCCGAAAACTCTAAACAAGATTTGGAGGCATCATCTATGCAGAGAATCGGAGCCCCACCCCTCTCTCCATCTTCGCAGCCAGAAACAATATGAACAGCCATAGGAAGCGGTTGGTGCTTAATGTCGGTTTGCTTTATCTTCTTGCGAGCTAATGATTCCCATGAACGGCAAACGGCATATGGTCCAACCCATGACCCAACAGCGAGGCCATAAAGTTGTCCAGCTTGTATAAGATTGTGAATAGAGAAAGCTGAAGCCTCAGAATCACCAAAAAGCTCCAATACCTCCAAGTATTCAGGTTCAGGAGGCTGCATTTAAAACCAGCATGAGGTTTTTCCCAATGCGAATGGCCTGGAATTTCACAGGCAACTAGACAATGCCCCTAGTGAATAATAAGTAATTATGATACAGTTCGGAAACTGCATCGAGCTACATCCACCTACCTGATTCTCTTTTCTCCTCCAAGACCTTCCCAGCGTATGAAAGAGCAACGCCTGTCAAACATATGAAATTCGACTTGTGTTACAAACTTGGAAACCAAAACTGAGACAGAATATGATTTCCAAAGTTGTACCTGTGCAAAAAGCATCTGGCTGCTTCGAAGCATGCAACCCCAGCCAACATCGCTGGTGTATGTTGTGTCTCCAATAGGATCAAAACCTGTACACTAACACTGTAAATATTCTACAAATACTCAATGTTGACTTTGACTTCAAAGCAATATACAAACCTTTACGATATGTCATCAATATTTTGGATGAAAAATCTTGTTTGAATGCAGTCAATACACTGCCAGCATCTGCTTCTGCTGAGGATTCATCCTCAGAGATTTTATAACAGACACCCAGAAGCCATATCTCACTCGTAGTGCTGGAAATACCAGTCCTACTCGGCCCTAAAACGCGCTCTTGAAATCTCCTTATCGCCCCACTAGCCATAAAGACTCTCTTTACTGCAGCGATCCAACCATCGTGTGAGGTGCAAACTTGCTTGTGCTCGGAACCTGAAGACTCCCTATACGTTTCAGAAACTGAGGAAGAAGGCACAGACAAGTTTGGCCATAAGGTGAACTTGAAAGATCTATTATCCCTAAATCCAGAATCTGAAACTAGAGATGTAGGAGATTTGTCATGCTTTTCACTTGTGTTTGACGAAGAGCATTCTGAAGCAACAAATCTATCACATAAAGCCTTCATTACCTAGACATTACGCACCAAGCGCAACGTGGACATCTCATAGAGGCAAACTATACTCTCAGAACTCTGATCTGCAACCAGACGCATAAAAGATATATCAGAAAAACATCTACCAGGCTTATGTAAGATCGAGCAATGCAGATGACAACAACAATAACATGCCAAAGACTTCTATGATTAGCATCGAAAACTACATAAAATTCTCATTTTTTTTATGCTTTGAGGAATCGAGAAGTTTAACCAAACAACTCTCAAAAGTCTTTATTTTTCTCGCAAGATGAAGCAGCTTAGGAGACTTAGTAAACATAACTCGTACGATAAATGTAACGCGGGTAGTTTGGATTCAATATGCAAAATCTCCAAATTGGAATTCGGAGATAAAATTCCAAGCACAATTCGGAATTGGAGACAAAAATCAGGCGAAAACCTCAAAACCCTGATGGAGTTCCTCTCACGGATCTACAGTAATCACAAGGGATCGAAAACTAACACCATCAGTCAAACATAAATTCGTGCACAACTTCCTCGTATCAGAACTAGAACAGGTTATAATTCGTCAAACCAAAGTCATCAGTACACAATCCGCCATCAAATCCGGGAAACGAACACGTAAAATCGAATCTCGAGCAGACAAAACATGAAGGGAAAGTAAAAAGAGGAGACGGATCACCTGATCAAGCGATCGATTGTTCGCTACAGATAGAGAGAGAGCACACGGAGGTGAGAATTCCGATGACGGATTCAGAAGTTCGACGAAACGGAGATGCGGAAGGAAATCGAACCGGAGAAGATGGATCCCGAGCTCTGTCACCTACCTTCTACGTTACGGACGAAGATGCGACACGGCAAACGTGTAAAATCACATCTGTTTTATGGGACCAACGAGGGTTCCTCCCTTCAAAATAATTTCCAAGTCGATATATATGAGCTTGAGAGTTTTTTTTTTTTTT